AAGTTCCTCTTTGCTTGCCATAAGGGTGGTGTCATCTTCATATCTGAGGTTATTAGTGTTTCTCCTGGCAATCTTGATTCCAGCTTGAGCTTCGTCTAGCCTGGAATTTCACGTGATGTACTCTGCATGTAAGTTAAATAAACAAGGTGAAAATATACAGCTTTGGTGTACCCCTTTCCCAATATTGAACACTTGAAACTAGTATAGCATTATAAATCAACTATACTTCAATGAAAAAGACCAGAGATAACAAGTATTCATCTAGGATATGGAGAAAAGGGAATGCTTGTATATTGATGGTGGAATTGTAAATTGGTTCATGCATTATGAAAAACAGTATGAAGGTTCTCAAAAAAAATAAAAATAGAGCTACATCTGGGTACTCAAAAGAAATGAAAACAAGATTCAAAGAGATATCTGTACTCTGATATTTATTACAGTATAATTCACAAAAGCCAAGATATGGAAACGATCTACATGCCCATTGCAGGAGGATGCAGTATATACACAAGGGGACATTTTTTAGTCATGAGTAAGGACATCTTGCCCTTTGCAACAATATGGATGGACCTTGAGGACATTATGCTAAGTAATAAGTCAGACAAAAAAGACAAATACCATATGATATCACGTATATGTGTAATCTTAAAAGGCCAAAGTCATAAAACCAGAGACTAAAATAGTGGTTACCAAAAGCTAGGTGGTGGTGAGATAGGAGAGATGCTATTTAAGGGTAGAAATTTGCAAAAAGCTAATAATTTCTAAAATTCTAATGCACAGAATGGTGAATACAGACAACAATATTGTATTACTGTAATCATACTTGACAAGAGACAGATCTTAATAATTCCAACCACTAAAAAAAAATGAGTTATACAACACAAAGGAGGTGCTAATTATCACTACAATGGCAATCATATTGGTATATATAAATGTATCAAATCAACATTAGGTTTACATCTTAAATTTACATAAGTGAAAGTGAAAATGTTAGCTGCCCAGTTGTGTCCGACTCTTTGTGACCCCATGAACTGTAGCCTGCCAGGCTCCTCTGTGCATGTTATATCAATTACATCATTTAAAGTTTATTAGAGAGAAGTTTCAAATCCATACCCTAGTCTTTCAATTTAAGAAATAGTAAAAGAAGAGCAAATTAAACCTAAAGGAAGAAGAAAGAATGAAATAGTAAAGATTAGAGCCTAAAATGAAATAGAAATAGAAATAGAAAATAGAAATAGAAAACAGCAAAATAGACAAAATGAAAAGCACAAAATTTGACTTTTTTTAAAAAATCAACACAATTTATAAATTTTTAGCCACAGTGAAAGAGAGAAAGGGCAAGAATAAGAGAGAAAGAGATACAGAGAGAAGACAATGATTAACAAAATTAGGAATTCAAGAAAGGATATCATCTCCTACATTAGAGATATTAGAATTATAAGAAAATAGCACAATTTCATGCCAACAAATTTACACAATTTAGATGAACAGGCAAAGTCTCCAGAAAGTCACCAATTACTGAAACTGACTCAAGAAGAATTAGAAAACCTTAGATCTATAACAAGAGATTGAATTAATAATTGAAAATTTTCCCAGAAATAAAAACCTGGGCCCAAATGACTTCATTGATGAATCCTCCCAAATATTTTAAGAAGAAATTGTACCAACCTTTCTATAAGTAGAGGAGGGAAGCCTTCCCAATTCACTCTGTATGGGCAGTATTTTCTGATACCAAAATCAGATAAAGAGGTCACAAGAAAAGAAAATTTCAGATCAACATCACTCACAAATACAGACACAAAAAATACTCAAAAAAATGTAAACAAATGTTATACCACAAAGACTTGGGTTCACTTTGAAAATTAAAATCAACCAGGTTGTTGCAGAAGCCCAAAATAGAATGTAGACAATGACAAGTGAATCTAAATGTGGTACACATAACCTCACTGCACAGTTGCTGAAAGAAGCTAAACCAAGTAGTTTTTAAAAGCAATGTTTGCTTGGATGCTGCAAGGCTATATACAGGAAGAATTGTACATGAACACTTTAGTGAGCTGCTCACAGGGCTGGCAATTGTTAAACTATGTGCATTCTGTATTGAACAAATAAGTAATTAAATTACAATTAGACCAGGTTTTTCTGGAGAAACTGTTCAAGAAGTTACACATAAGCAAAGGGGAACATTTCTAAGATGAACCCTGATTATGCACTACATTAGTTAGAGGTATCAATATTAACTCTTGCACACACACACATGTGTGCACACAAACACACAGCATACAGAAATAGATGCAAATGTATAAATGGGAACATATATTACCAATTCTGTCTGTTGAAAGGACTTAGAAGCAAAGATTCCCTAGTAGCCATGACAACACCTGAATGCCCAGATTTTTTTTTAAATTTCTTCCCCAATAAAATGAACCAAAGCTTCTTAGAAGAGGGGTTGACTTCAGAACTGGGGCAGGTAAAATATAAGATAATTCTGAAATACATTATGGGGCTAGAAGGTAAAGGAATCCTTGGGGAAAGTGGGGAAGGAGGTGCAGGCATTTAAAGGACTCAGGAGCTAATCTGAAAGAACTCACAATGATCAAATCTGGAACAATTTGAATAAAATTAAATGATCATATTAGACATAGCCCAAATAATAAAAGAAATATTGATGAGACCATACAAATATAAGTGACTGAATATATAAATGCAGAGAACTCTGCCTCGGAGAATAATTCTAATCAAATGTAGAACAAGAAAGATATAAAATCACCGTAGAACACCACAATAATTGCTACAGGCAAGATCCACTGATGATGGCAAAATTAGTGGTAAAAGTTTAAGGATAAACAGGATTTTCCTGTCAAATCAATGTAAGACCCTCTTAAATATGTACTAGAGAGAAATAGTAACTATTCAGAGGACAGACACCTGGCCAGACACCACTTTGTGATATTAGCATCACATGTATGGGATTTTTTCTTAAAAATTCATAACCTCAATGAACTCATGATAAAACAGCAGACAAATCCAAACTGAGGAAAATTCTACAAAATATTTAACTGGTACTCTACCAATGTATCAAGACCACAGAAGATACTAAGATAGATAGAGTAATGGTCACAGTTTGGAGGAAACTAAGAAGACATGACAACTAAGTGAAATGCGGGATTATACTGGCACAGGAAGAAAATTTTACTGAAAAATGGGGAAATATGTTTAAAGTCTGAAGTTTAGCTAATATCATTGCAACAATGTTAATTTCCTGGTTTCAATAATTGTTCTGTAAGATACTAACATTAGGAGAAGCTCAGAGAAGAGTAGTTGGGGATTCTCTCTACTATTCTTGTAAGTCTAAAATTGTATTGATAAAGACTAAAGTTGTCACAAGTCATTTCTTAACATACACTAGGCATGATTCAACCCATAGTGAAGTCAAGTGGGCAGATGACAAGCAGAGAGAAAAAAGGAAAGTGCCTTTTCAAAACATAGAAATCAGGACTCAGCATCTAGAGACGTAAAGTGGTTCCAGCTTTTCCGACTGGGCCACTGAAAACCTAGAGTTAAAAGTCTGGCCACTCATACTAGTCACTTCTTCCTTCACTGTGAATTCAAAAAGCAGAGGCAGGAATACTTGATAAATTAGCAAAGGTCATGTATGTATTTAATACATATTATTATATGTAATGAAATTTACATTATATATTCTATACATAATGTATTAAACACATACATATATTTTATAAACACATATGTAACATGCATGGTTGTATTAACACATGTTACATGAGTATATAACATTACATATATTATACATTGATTACTATGAGTATAATCATATACTAATATTATACATACATATATACTTATATGGAGAAGGAAGTGGAAACCCACTCCAGTGTTCTTGCCTCGAAAATCCCATGGACAGATTGAGCCTGGCAGCCTACAGTCTGTGGTGTTGTGAAAGAGTCGGACATGACAGAGTGACTAAACAATATACATATATATTATACATATCTAATATATGATATATATATGAACTATGTATTCTCATAAATTATATACATATACACATATTACAGGCTTCCCTTGTGGCTCAGCAGCTAAAGAATCTGCCTGCAATGCAGGAGACCTGGGTTTGATCCCTGGGTTGGGAAGATCCCCTGGAGAAGGGAAAGGCTACCCACTCCAGTATTCTGGCCTGGAGAATTCCATGGACTATAGTCCATGGGGTCGCAGAGAGTCGAACATGACTAACTTTCACTTCACATACACATAATATATATTATATGACTATATTAATATATAAATGACATGTATAAATATATGTGACTATATGTATGCAACATATATAACTTTGCTCATCAACTGAATATTCATGTGGTACCAGATGTTCAGAGAGAGAATACAGAGATTTTAAGAAAGATGAACCAGTCCCCAGGTAAGAAAATGGGCAAGGCAGGAAAAGGCAACGATCACAGCAGTGGGTGTCCTGCTTGCTCCTGCCTGGAGGGAAACTGGTCCAAAGCTTCCCTCTTCTGCTGCAAGGATGCTGACCACTGGATCAGGCCAGACTAACAACTTCCAGCTACCTAAGTTCCAGGTGCACTTCTGACAGAAAGATGATAAGAATGTTTTGTTGTCTCTCTGGAGAGAACTGACTTGGTAGGGGAATGGGCTCACAGGAGCAGCACTCTGGGTTCCCTCAAGAGCAAAACTGGACTCTGATGGTCTTGCACTGCTCCTCCAAGGAACCACTGAGGGGCCAAGCAGCACAGTACTGGGGAACAGGCTCTGGTGGGCCAGGAAAAAGAAACCAATTTTTTAAGCAAAGTGGAGCAAGACAAACAGGGAAAACCAAGACAAAACACCTCATAGAGATGGCTACTCCAACCAACAAGAAGGCCACTGGGCCTGGGGGAGCTCTACATCTTCCAGAAGCTCCTTGGCTGGGAGCTGGCAGAGCAGAAGGCTGAGGAGTTCTGCAGACTGAGATGGTTTCTGTCTTACCCTTCCAAGACGTTGTTAATCCACCTGATCGCAGCTCTCTTCTCGAGGTCAAGGACTTCAGCAGTGACTGGATAACCCATCTGGAGGGGTGGGGGCAGGATCAGCGGGCCGTTTCGCATGGAGGGCAGCAGCAGAGGAATCTTGCGTTTGCGGGGCCTGGAACTGTCAGATGACTGTGAGCAATTTAGGTTTTGTTTCTTCCTTAAGTGGTCATCTGCAATTTTTTCATCCTCGATCTTCCTCTGCGGCTCCATTGAGGCTGAAGGGTTAGGCCGATGGCCCTCCTCGGTTTGCTCTGAGAGCACATGAAGATGCGATGCCTCGGAGCCCAGGAGCCCGGCTGCGTCTGGACCACTCCTCTGGAGCTGTGGGGCAACTCTTGTGGAGCTGTACGAACTGGTGATGGCATTTCGCTTGCTGTATGAACTCAAAAAGTAGGTCTGAGATTTCCTAATCAGGATATCTTCAGAGCTCTTGGAACAGAGAACCAGAGGCCCAGGCCTGGGCACAAAGGACGAGAGGACCCCATCAATCACGAGGCGTCTAAATGCGGACTTGGCATTCCCACCTGGGTTCGAGCCTTTTCTCTGTTCATCCTCACTCCCCTGGGCTGAGTGCCCTTTCTTTTGCTTCGCTAGCCCCTTTCTGCTCTCAGCCAAGGCTGTCAGGTCCTTCTCTTCCTTTCCTCTCAGTTGACCACTCTCTTCTACGGCCCTCACCAGAATCTCCTTGACGCAAAGGTTTGGGAGGTGAACAGAAAACGAAGACCACGTACAGATGACTGTCTGCTTCAGAGGCAAACCGAGCGTCAGTCTGCCCTTTGCGGATACCATCCTCAGGATCACTGAGGTGTAGAACATCTTGGAACTGCAAGCAGACGGCAATGGCTTCTGATGGCCACTCCGGGGCACAGAGGGAAAAAAACACCAAAATAAACACCGGGCTTGCTGGATTGAATATGGCCGCCGATGGACTAGGACAAACCGCCGACGGTACAGACGACGACGGGGTGAACCCATGAAACCCTCATAGGACAGCCTGCGAGCCAGGTCGAGAGTTGGGGCCCCCGAGTGAACCCGGAAAGCTGGGGAAGCACGGCTGGCGGTGTGCGCTGGCCCGAGGCACTCGGGGCTCTCTGGCTGGCACCCGCCCCGCCGAGCAGGTGACGACGGGTGAGGGCGAGGCCGGCTCAGGTAACCGCCCATGAGGCGCAACTCTGCACTGTCTGTCAGGACCTTCAAATGGAGTCTAGCGGCTCAGAGAGATTTCCGTTAGCTGCCTAAGGGGTGCCAGGCAAAGCGCTTACTGTTGTGTGGCGCCTGTGACGCGTCGTTGGAACGCGTGAGCGAAGAAAGGGAACGCTAAGCCTGCGCGAGGGAGGGGTAACCGCACCCGGGTGCTTCCTGCCGGATGCAGCGTAGTGTTGGCGGGACGCACGTGTCTCCGGGGCACAGGTGTCTGTGGGACGCAGGTGTCTCCGGGGCGCGGGTGTTGGCGGGGCGCAGGTGTTGGCGTGTGGAGTACCGGCTCCCTGGGCGCAGCCGCAGTTCCCGCAACCAGGCCCCAGCTCCGTCGCGGGAAAGTGACTGGCAGTGATCCCCAAACCTAATGGCTCCCGGCTCAGCAGCGCCCACTCTATGCTGCAGCTCCAGGATCAGCACCGGATACCCCAGAGAAAAGCCATTCTGATCCCGTGCCCCCGAGATCCTGGGGGCATAACCACCCAGGCATCCAAGACTGCAGGAGGGAAGCAGCTGGATGTGGGAAGCCAGAGTGGAAGCTCCCCATCCTGTTTCTTTTCGACTAAATCTTATTTTTCTGATACCCCACCCCCTCCTTCTCCCCTGGAGAATTGGTGTCTCTATATCCAGGAGCAGTGTTATCTGGGACTTAAAACTTGAATTTTGAAGGTCGTACTTTGCCATTACCCTAATCTTTGCTTTCTGCCCCTCAACAGATCCTGTAGGGCTTTGTCATTCCTTTTCAGTAAGTCTGTGTCTATGGATGGGAGAAGGGACCTGGCAATTCAAATTAGAACTCAGAATTTGACTCTCTATAAGTATTCTGACTGCAGATAGGATTATTAGTTGAAAGTTCAAACATTAGGATATTCAGACTATTTAAAAATCTTTGATGTTTTCATAGCTACACTCACTTTGATTTGGTTGTTTTTTGTTTTGGTTTGAAACCGTTTTGCCTTATTTTGGATTATCATCACTTAGTGAATGATGCTTGGCATTTTACTAGACCAGGTAGTTTTTCAAAGGAGTTATTCCAGTCAGTGCTGTGCTCAGCAAGCAGAGAAGGGTAGTATGATTTTGTGTAACCAGCATCCAAAGGGCTATACTTTAACTAACTATTCTAGTGGGTTATAAAATTCAGGAGTTTGACTTTCATCTTTATGTAAAAAAAAAATTTAACAATATTGACAACCTCCCAATGTTTTTTATCTGTCTGCTGTGCTTCAAAGTTCTTTCAAAAATGAAATAAGAGAAAAATTCATGATGGGTGGATATACTACCACAATATAAATGGAATTATTCCAGGTATTTGAAGGTAATCCATTCCTCAGTAAAAGAAATAAATCTTAATAATAGACACATTAAAATGTGTTATCCAATAAAAATTTTCCAGAAGAATTTTTCAACCATTAATTTTTTAACTTTGTATTTTGTATTGGGGTGTAGCCAATTAACAAGGCTGTGATGGTTTCAGATGAATAGCTAAGGGACTCAGCCATACATATATATTCTCCCCAAATTCCGCTCCCATCCAGGCTGCCACATAGCATTGAGCAGAGTGTTTCATATGCCATATACTAGGTCCTTGTTGGTTATCTATTTTAAATATAGCAGTGTGTACATGTTCATGCCAGTCTTTCTAATTACCCCTTCCTCCCAGCAACCATAAATTCGTTCTCTAAGTCTGTGAGTTTCTCTGTTTTGTAAGTTCATCTGTGTCATGTCTTTTTAGATTTTGCATATAAGGGCAGTCATATAATATCTCTCCTTCTTTGACTTACTTCACTCGGTATGATATGCTCCAGGTCCATTCACACTGCTGCACATGGCATTATTTCATTCTTTGTAATGTCTGAGTAATATTCCATTGTGTATGTGTACAGTGGAATCTTTATCCATTCCTCTGTCAATGGACATTTAGGTTGCTTCCACGTCTTGGCTGTTGTAAACAGTGCTGCAATGAACACTAGGATGTATGCATCCTTTTGGATCATGTTTTTTCTCTGGATATATGTCCAAGAGTGGGATTGCAGGGTCATATGGTAGCTCTACTTTTAGCTTTATGAGGAACCTCCATATTGATCTCCATAGTGGCTGTATCAATTTACATTCCCACCAACAGCATAGAAGAGTTACCTTTTCTCCAGCATTTATTCTTTGTGAGTTTTGGTTTTTTGGTTTTGTTGTGTTTTTTTTTGATAACCACTCTGGCTGGTATGAGGTAATATTTCATTGTAGTCTTGACATTAGTTTCTCTAATACTTAGAGATGTTGAACATCTTTTCATGTGTCTATTGGCCATCTGTATGTCTTCTTTGAAGAAATGTCTATTTAGGTCTTCTGCCCATTTTTTGAGTGAATTGTTTGTTTTGATGCCATTAAGCATCATGAGCTGTTTGTAAATTTTGGAGATGAATCCCTTATCAGTCACATCATTTGCAAATATTTTCTCCCAATCTCTAGGTGGTCTTTTCATTTTTTTTATTGTTTCTGTTGCTATGCAACAACTTTTAAGTTTAAGTAGGTCCTATTTGTTTATTTTTGTCTTTATCTCCAGTATTCTGGGAGACAGATCGAAAAAATGATGTGTGATTTATGTCAGAGAGTGTCCTGCCCATATTTTCCTTGAGGAAATTTATAGTATCTGGTCTCACATTTTGGTCTTTAATCCATTGTAAGCTTATTTTTGTGTTTGGAGTTGAAGAATGATCTAATTTAATTTTTTTACATGTAGCTGTCCAGTTTTCCCAGCACCATTTGTTGAAGAGACTATCTTTCCAACATCATGTAGTCTTGCCACCTTTGTCATTGGTGTCATAGCTTAATTTGCCATAGGTGTATGGGCTTATTTCAGAGTTTTCTATCCTGCAACATTGATTTATATTTCTATTTTTGTGCCAGTACCATGCTGTTTTGATTACTGTAGCTTTGTAGTGTAGTCTGAAGCCAGGATGACTGATTCCTCGAGCTCTATTCATTGCTTTGGCTATTCAGGGTCTTTTGTGTCTCCATACAAATTTTAAGGTTTTTGTTCTAGTTCTGTGAAAAATGCCATTATAATTTGACAGGGATTGCATTGTATCTCTAGACTGCCTTGGGTAGTATAGTCATTTTGACAATACTGATTCTTTCAATCCATGAACATGATATATCTTTCCATTTGTTTATGTCTTCTTTGGTTTCTTTCATTAGCATCTTATAGTTTTTGGAGTACAGGTCTTTTGTCTCCTGAGGTAGGTTTATTCCTAGGTATTTTATTCTTTCAAATGCAATTGTAAATGGAATTGCTTCTTGAATTTCTCTTTCTGATCTTTCATTGTAAGTGTATTGAAATGCAACAGATTTCTCTGTATTAATTTTGTAACCTGTGACTTTACCAAATTCAATAATGAGTTCCAGTTGTTTTTCTGGTAGCATCTTTCAGATCTTCTATGTATATGTACATGTTATATGCAAACAGTGACAGTTTAACTTCTTTTACAATTTGGATTCCCTTTACTTATTTTCCTTCTCTGATTTCTGTAGTTAGGACTTCCAAAACTCCATTGAATAAAAGTATCAAGAGTAGATATCTTTGTCTTGTTCCTGATATTAAAGGGAACACTTTCAGCTTTTCACTGTTGACTATGATTCTATCTATAGGTTTGTCACTGTTGCTGCTGTTCAGTCACACTAAGTTGTGTCTGACTATTTGTGACCCCATGGACTCCAGCACACCTGGCTTCCCTGTCCTTCACCATCTCATGGAGTGTCCATTGAGTTGGTGATACCATCCGACCATCTAATCCTCTGTTGCCCCATTCTTCTCCTGCCCTCATTCTTTCTCAGCATCAGGGTCTTTTCCAATGAGTCAGCTCTTCACATCAGGTAACCTGATAGAACTTCAACTTGGAGCTGAAGTTTCAGCATTAGTCCTTCGAGTGATATTCACTGTTGATTTCCTTTAGGATTGAGTAGTTTGATCTCCTTGCAGTCCAAGGGACTCTCAAGAGTTTTCTCCAGCATCACAATTCAAAAGTATCAATTCTTTGGTGTTCAGCCTTCTTTTTGGTCCAGCTCTCATATCTGTACATGACTACTGGAAAAACTGTAACTTTGACTATGTGGACTTTTGTCAGCCAAATGATGTCTCTGCTTTTAAATACACTGGCTAGATCTGTCATAGCTTTTCTTCGAAAGATCAAGTGGCATTTAATTTCATGGCTGCAGTCACCATCCACAGTGATTTTGGAACCCAAGAAAATAAAATCTGTCACTGTTTTCATTGTTTCCCCATCTATTTGCCTTGAAGTGATAGGGGCAGTAATGCTGAAGAAGCTGAAGTTGAACGGTTCTATGAAAATCGACAAGACCTTTTAGAACTAACACCCAAAAAAGATGTCCTTTTCATTATAGGGGACTAGAATGCAGAAGTAGGAAGTCAAGAAACACCTGGAGTAACAGGCAAATTTGCCCTTGGAGTACGGAATGAAGCAGGGCAAAGGCTAATAGAGTTTTGCCAAGAGAACGCACTGGCCATGGCAAACACCCTCTTCCAACCACACAAGAGAAGACTCTACACATGGACATCACCAGATGGTCAACACTGAAATCAGATTGATTATATTCTTTGCAGCCAAAGATGGAGAAGCTCTATACAGTCAGCAAAAACAAGACTGGGAGCTGACTGTAGCTCAGATCATGAACTCCTTACTGCCAAATTCAGGCTGAAATTGAAGAAAGTAGGGAAAACCACTAGACCATTCAGGTATGACCTAAATCAAATCCCTTATGACTATACAGTGGAAGTGAGAAATAGATTTAAGGGACTAGATCTGATAAAGCACCTGAAGAACTATGGACGGAGGTTCATGACATTGTACAGGAGACAAGGTTCAAGACCATCCCCATGAAAAAGAAATGCAAAAAAGCAAAATAACAGCCTGAGGAGGCCTTACAAATAGCTGTGAATAGAAGAGAAGTGA